GAGAGAGAGAGAGAGAGAGAGAGAGAGAGAGAGAGAGAGAGAGAGAGAGAGAGAGAGAGAGAGAGAGAGAGAGAGAGAGAGAGAGAGAGAGAGAGAGAGAGAGAGAGAGAGAGAGAGAGAGAGAGAGAGATGCCTCTCATTAGGCTGTAGTATCCTCCTAGTGTCCGTTCATCCCACTCCATAGTTATTATCTTGCACGTCTAGGGGGTTAAACTCTAATAGCTGATAGTGTGTCCTCTCCTGTTTCTTAATATTCATGACAGGATGAGTGTGTGGCATCCTGTAGCCTCCCTCACTCCTGCTTCTCTTCCCACACGTCAGAGAGAGAGCAGGAGTCCAGGGAGGGAGTCCTGCAGGACCCCGCTTGCTAACTTTCTTCCATTCATTGCTGGTAACTATGCCATAATACTTGAGACAAGAAGATGGAGCTTCCTGTTCTGGGTCAAGGACTTTCATCTTCTCTTAGTATTGTCCTCAGATGCACATCCTCGGCGGCTCTTAGCCAAGAACTATGAGACTTGAGATCACATTTCTCCTGGCGCCTGTTTTCTCTACTGTTAAGCTGATCTGTGAAGGGTCCTGATGCGAGAAGAAGGATGCTTCTTGTGCCTCAACCAGGCTTAGGCGTTTGGCTCTCACACGCCATTGATAGCCAAGCCATGGATGGTCTTAAATTATGAAAATATGCAGGCCATCCACCCTTCATGGTGATCCGTCACCACTACGATTGATTTCCTCTCACTGTGTCCCTCTGTTTCCTACCAGAGATGTACTCCCTGATCTCGGTATCTTTCCACTTACACCATTCTGGTTCTTAAGTTTGTACGAGAGCTTTTCATAAGGGAAGTATCAAAGAATTTCTGACAAATAATAATCATGTGATCTCTCTCTCTCTCTCTCTCTCTCTCTCTCTCTCTCTCTCTCTCTCTCTCTCTCTCTCTCTCTCTCTCTCTCTCTCTCTCTCTCTCTCTCTCTCTCCTCTCTCTCTCTTTATAACTTTTTTTTTCATTAAACTATAATCATTTCATTAGACATGATCTGCGCCCGCGTGCGTGTATGTGTTTGTGTTTGTGTGTGTGTGTGTGTGTGTGTGTGTGTGTGTGTGTGTGTGTGTGTGTATGTGTGTGTGTGTGTGTGTGTGTGTGTGTGTGTGTGTGTGTGTAGGGAAGGGTCACGGGCGGGGAAAGACCATGTTATTCCCGAGTGTGTTTTGCTCCTGTGACCTTTACCACCGTCCGAGACCCTCCTCTACCACACACACACACACACTCACACACACTCACACACACTCACACACACACACACACACACACTCACACACACTCACACACACACTCACACACACACACACACACACACACACACACACACACTCACACACACTCACACACACTCACACACACACACTCACACACACACACACACACACACACTCACACACACTCACACACTCACACACACACACACACACACACACACACACACACACACACACACACACACACACACACACACACACACACACGCCACATGCACAGGAATTGACATTGACTTCCCATTTGAATCTGGTAACGGTAACACACTCTAAGAACCCTGATGGTTCTCCTCAGAACACCTCTCTGAATTCCTGATATCAGTCTGGCTCCCCCTGTGGCCCACTGTACACTCCTTGTTCCTCCTTGATAGTGCCAAGGATCTATAGTGACCTTCTGCAAGCCTTCCGGCGGCCTTCTGCTCCATCTGACGGCTCCCCTGGACCCTAGTGACACCCTGGGGGTCGTCTGGGGTTCCCCTCCTGATATGTTTCAAGACCGGTTTTCCGGAACAACCAGAATGCAGTCTAAGAGCTGCAAGCTAAACGCACTATGGAACGTAATAGCAAAACGATATGCAGTCTTCAACATCTGTAACAAGAGTCTTTCTTCCATAGCGGCTTCCTCAGGCAGTGAGTACCGCACTTGTGTTGGGAGAGGCAGGAGGAGGAGGAGGAGGAGGAGGAGGAGAAGGAAAGGAAGAAGGCGTAAAAATAAAAAGAGGAAAATAAGAACGAGGGAGAGGATTAGGAAGAGGGTAACCCGACAAAACAATCTATCATAAACTTTTCGTCCAACTTTGCGAACAACTACAGGCACGGGGCCAAACTTGTCCCTCTGTGGCACTCTTGGCCCTGAGTCGTGTCTTCACCAGCACAGGGGCCAAACTTGCCCCTCTGTGGCACTCTTGGCCCTGAGTCGTGTCTCCACCAGCACAGGGGCCAAACTTGCCCCTCTGTGGCACTCTTGGCCCTGAGTCGTGTCTCCACCAGCACAGGGGCCAAACTTGTCCCTCTGTGGCACTCTTGGCCCTGAGTCGTGTCTCCACCAGCACAGGGGCCAAACTTGCCCCTCTGTGGCACTCTTGGCCCTGAGTCGTGCCTCCACCAGCACAGGGGCCAGACTTGCCCTCTGTGGCACTCTTGTTGGTAACGTGTGGGAGGTCGTTCGTTTGGTGTGTCGAGGGAGATGGGTGGAAATTGGTTTGGGAGGAGCCAGGGTAACCTGGCAGTGTGGAGTCTCTGACAAAGGCGGGTCTCTGTGTGTGGTGGAGGACGGCGGGTGTGGGTGTGCCATATGGCTCTCCCGGGACTGTCCAGGTAACAACAGAACACCCAACCACTCCATGTTTTACCCCACTCGCCTTTGGTCTTTAGTCCTTCAAGAGCCGTCTGTCAAGTTTTTCTGGGCCTCCGACTGTGGGTAGAATTCTTTATGTCTTTCATGACCAACACACACATACACATCCTCCTCCACCACCAACACACACACACTCTACCCCACCAACACCAACACACTCACACCTTCCACCAACACCACCAACACACACACACACCCTCCCCACCACCACAACACACACACACACACCCTCCCCCACCACCACCAATAAACAACGCTATGTAGTGAATTTCATCAAAAAGGGAATGAAGTCAGCATTCCCACCTACAATTCCTAATATCGGATTTTGCGGCCCGAGATCTTCAATTCCCGCGTGTCCTGGCGGAGGTAATCCTAATGGCTGGGAGTAAACCTTCAGTTGTCGTTGACATTGCTTAATAAAATGACTTGTGAGGGAGACGATCGTTCTTTATCTCACACCCGTAAAATTAAGTTTTCGATCGAAGCAAGAGAGAGAAAGATTACATTATTATGAAGTGAGGATGAATAAGGAACGATGAAATTTTGAATAATAAATAAGAATGAGATTTATAATTCAAAATCAATACTATTTACCATTTCATGAAAAACGTCATTTCACACTTCGGCGGTCTTCAAAGAGAATGTTTAAAATATTATTGTCTCAAATGTTAATTTATATGAATTTTGTGTATTAGTAGACCTAAGTTAGGTTAGGTGTTTTGTATTGTAAGTTATTTCTATAAACAATATGTGGGGGCGATGCCTATATGAAGGTGGAAATAGGACGTAGAAAGCAAAACAAAACACTCTCAGTAAAAGCTTCGAACGCATGTCCCTGGAAACACAAACCGAAACTGTCTCTATTTTCCGCTTGTTACAACTTGTAATAAAGTTGTTACATCGTGGCTTAACGTGTTTATGACGTATTAGAACGTTGTTACAACTTGCTATATTGGTTGTTATATCTGGTAAAGGTGTTAAAACTTGTTCGAACGTTGTACCAACGTCGTAGTTTCGGTGTGTGTTTGGCGGTGTGTGTGTGTGTGTGTGTGTTAATGAATGGTGTATAGACAAGCTATGATTACGGCGATATACCGCTCCTCGGAACAACATGGTTGGAGGTTGTGTTGTGCAAGGTGTTTTTCATTCCTAAAAGCTAAGACGGGGGGGCGGGGCCTTGGCGGCTGAATTAACCAGCATTTGGCTATTGTTAATGAGGCTGGGGCTGTCAGCCGCCTAATGTCCTGTTTGTGAATGAGAAATACTTTAACCCCGCGAATCAAAACTAATTACGTACGATGCAGTCTCTCTCACTAATGTCACAGAACGAGTTGCCTTCGTGTGAAAACTCCACGCACCTTACCCGCCACATTTCACTACCAGCCTTCTGTCTACCCTCTGTACCGTCCGGGGATCTTCTTGAGGTTATCTTGAGATGATTTCGGGGCTTTTTAGTGTCCCCGCGGCTCGGTCCTCGACCAGGCCTCCACCCCCAGGAAGCAGCCCGTGACAGCTGACTAACACCCAGGTACCTATTTTACTCGGGGATCAACGGCCCCGCAGCCCGGTCTCCAGCCAGATCTCCCGGTTGGTCGTCTGGTCAACCAGGCTGTTAGACGCGGCTGCTCGCTGCCTGACGTGTGAATCACAGGTATTGGATCAGGTATTCTTTGGATAAGGTGAGGAGAAGAGCTAATTTTCTCGCTACGGTGTAAACATTATCAAGTAACAATGATAAAACTAATGAAACTAAAACTAACAATTATTGATAGGCACCAATGGTCCTCCACAAGTTTATAGGTCTTAAGCCCTACACCAAACCAAACATAACTGTAACCAACTAAACTAAGAGAAAATAAACCAAAAGTCAAACACAAAGATACTAGGAAATAAAAGAGTAAAGTTATATAGATAAACAGTAAACAATAACATTAAAAACGGGAAGAATTTGAAACGAAGAAAACGAACACAAATTAGGGTAAAGAGGAGAAAGAATACAGGGGAAACTGAAACAGGGAAGTGAGAGGGCGAGTTATGTCCCCCGTGTCTGTGGGGATGGGAGGGATGGAGGGAGGCGAGGAATGAGAGAGGGAGAGGGAGAGATGGACAGCCTGAGAGGAAGGCGCAAAGGCAGGGAGGGAGGTAGAGAGGCAGGGAGATAGGGAAAGAGAGAGAGGCAGGGAGATAGGGAAAGAGAGAGAGGAAGGGAGGGAAATAAGAAAATAGCTCTTAGCGAGTAATATCCATAAATATCTTCTCATATTAGTTCTTCTCGTCCTTAGCAAGTAAGTCCTTAGTTATAGAGTGAAATATAAACAAAAGTGTTGACTAGAATGACTGTAAAATGTGGCTCAGTTGGGTTGAGTGAGGCTGTGGGTTGGGTGTCGGAGGTGGCTCTGTATCATGGCTTGGTAGGTGAGATTCCCGGGCGCTGACATGCTCACTAAGTGGAAACGGGGCGTTGGTATGCTCACCAAGTGACCCCAAGCCACTGGCATGCTCACCAAGTGACCCCAAGCCACTGGCATGCTCACCAAGTGACCCCAAGCCACTGGCATGCTCATTAAGTGATCCCGGGGCGCTGGCATACTCACTAAATGGCCTCGAGGCGCTGGCATGCTCACTAAGTGATCCCGGGGCGCTGGCATGCTCACTAAGTAGCCTCGGGGCGTTTACATGCTCGCTAAATGTCTCCGGGACACTGGCATGCTCAATAAGTGGCCCCCGAGGCCTTTGCATGCTCGCTAAGTGGCTCCCAAGTCGCTAGCTTGCTCACTAAGTGGCTTAGGGACGCTGGCAATGTTCGTTCCGTGAGCCAGAGGACTGACATGCTTGCTAAGGAGGGAGGTGAGCAGGCACTGACTTATGGTAAGCAGGCAGTGACACTAGAGAAGCATGGCAAGAGAATGACTAATGAGATATCCCTTAACATGCTAAACAATCACGCAGACCATCGACAAATTAAAGGATTCTAAGCTGACGATGTGAATGGAATTCCATCCAAAATCGTGAAGGAACTTGCAGACGAATTGTATTTACCTCTGAAACTCCTATTCAGAAAATCCTTAAACTAAGAGAAAGTTCCTTTACATTGGAGGTGTGTAAATTGGAGGTGTGTAAATGTCACCCCGCCGGCTACCCCCCCTCCCCCTCCCCCTACATCTTCAAAAAAGGCAGAAGGAACTCAAGGGAAGATTACTGACCAGTCAGCCGTGTCAACCCCCGCAAGCACAACCTAGTTACAGTGTGTGTGTGTTACAGATAAATATATGTAGTAGACATAATAGACGCAAAGTGGAGTGGTTGGAAAAGCGGGCCCCAGGGCTAATAGCTAGATTCTGCAGACACACACACACATACACACACACACACACACACACACACACACACACACACACACACACACACACACACACACACACACACACACACACACACACACAAGGGGACACAGGAGGAAACTGAGTGCCCAAATGAGCCATAAAGACATTAAAAATATTTTTTTAGTGTCAGAGTAGTTAATAAATGGAAGTGGTAATCACATCACTTCCTAATGGTAGCATTAGGAAGTGATGTGGAGGAGGCTGACTCCATACACAGTTTTAAGTGTAGATATGATAGAGCTCAATAGGCTCAGCAACCTGTACACCAGTTGATTAAAGGTTGAGAGGCGGGATCAAAGAGCCTAAACTCAACCCCCGCAAGTACAACTAGGCGCGTTCACACACACACGCACACCTGACCAAAGAGCCAGCGCTCAACCTCCGCAAGCACAACTGAGTACACACACACACACACACACACACACACACACACACACACACACACACATACACACTAGACTCCGACTGGAGTTTAACTCAAATAAGTTTAAAATAATGACAATAGGTGTAAGGAGTAAGAAACAGGACATAAGGTACCATCTGGGAGAAGGGAGATGAAATCCTTCAAGAATCAGATAGATGCTGTTAATCTGGGGATTAACAGCACACCAAACCTGTCCCCTGAAGCCTACATCAAAAAGGATGTCATCAATGACAATGGCTAGCGTTGACGAACATAGGAACTGCCTGTTGACCAGACCACACACTAGAAGGTGAAGGGACGACGACGTTTCGGTCCGTCCTGGACCATTCTCAAGTCGATTGTGTCAAGTCGATTCGGTCCAGGACGGACCGAAACGTCGTCGTCCCTTCACCTTCTAGTGTGTGGTCTGGTTAACATACTTCAGCCACGTTATTGTGACTCCTCGTCTGCATAGGAATTGCCTTTTAAAACTTGTTTAAGAAATCCTTCAGAGCCTTGAATACCAATTATGTCAGACCAATCTTGGAGTATGCTGCTCCAGGGTGGAGTGCCATATAAAGTTAAACACAAGACAAAGATAATCAAAGTTCAAAGGTATGCCTCCAGAATTGTCCCGGAGCTGAGAGGCGCGATTAATCACGAAAAATACTACTGGAATAAAAACTCACGTCACCTGATGACAGAAGAACTAGGGGGGAGACATGAATATCACATGTCAAATTCTCGGTGGAATTCAAAGGGGGAGAAAAGGAGGGACTTAGGACGGGTGGTACTCACCCAAGGGGACACAGATTGAAACTGAGTACCCAAATGAGCCACAGAGACATTAGAAAAGACTTTTTCCGGCGTCCGAGTAGTTAACGAATGGAATACAATAAGGGTGAGGTGGCGGAGGCAGACTCGATACACAGCAGCAAATATTGATATGATTGACAGTTGAAAGGCAGGACCAAAGAGCCGAAGCTCGGTCCCCCGCGACCACAATTAGATGAGTACTTACACACATTAATATTATTTAATTCTCGCCAAGTTCAAACAAACGCAAGATTGTTTATATTACCGAGAGCAAAACATTAGCCGACGCTCACTGATCAGTGATTGATTATAAGCCTTTGACAACACTCATTCATTTCTGTGCGGGAGCAACTGTGAATTTGTTAAACCCGGGGGGGGGGGGAGCTGGGCACGTGAACCCTCCCCCTCCCTTGACGTACCCTTATATCCTGGGGAGGGGGGGAGACCCTTAAACCCTTGTCAACGCATAAACGCACCCCCTGATGGGGTATAACCATATCCTGTTGGTTATGTACCAACAGGATGTGGTTGACACATAACCACACCTTACTGACGAGTTAAGTGATGAATTAAGTCATGGGGAGACTCCCTGGGGTCAATGGTGCTGGCGGGACACTACAGTCCCCTGGATCACTGGTATAAAATGTACCGCTAATACAACAGGAACTGAACGTTGCCAACAATGGGTCAACTAATCTTATTGGTAAGCTTGATTACGAATCTTAAGATTGGGTGATGCGTGGTAATTATCAGAAGACGCTAAACCAACAGCCCTGTATCGCACTTGGAAAGTTTATGAGGACAAGGATTTTGGAAGAGCACGGAGGGAAGGCCTGGTGCCCCCACCACTTGGACCGTCGGGGATTGAACACGGACCAGCAAGAAGCGAGACCATATATGGCTGTACCGACCAATCCAAGTGGTTGAACTGTGAAATCTAATAAAGAGAGAGAGAGAGAGAGAGAGAGAGAGAGAGAGAGAGAGAGAGAGAGAGAGAGAGAGAGAGAGAGAGAGAGAGAGAGAGAGAGAGAGAGAGAGAGAGAGAGAGAGAGAGAGAGAGAGAGTAGAAGAAGACACAGATAAACGTAATACCTGCAAAATATTCATGAACTCTAATTTAACATCAAAGTCATGCCGTCGGTCACCAAATGAGTGAAGGTCGTAGCCTCGCGTCCCGGGTGAGGGGTCATATGTTAACTACCTAATTAGCGCTAACGAGGGCATCAGTCCACCAGCAGGTCAGGTAATCACCCCCGACTGGCGCTAATAATTGGCACTGTGCCACAAAGGCACCCCAGTGGTGTCAAACCATAAAATGAAAAACTGTACGTCATCCACTGACAGTTGTGTATATGTATGTAAATATGCACTCATATATATATTACTGAAACTACGCACAAGTATCGGAAACTTTGTTCATCGTCAGATCTAAAACATAACAAAACACAATCAAGGGTAAAATGGGTAAAATATTAAAACAAATTTAGAAACGTCGCAAATAACATTAATAGAGCAACACTTTGCTATAAATCCAAATAAATGATGAATATAAAACTCTGGACTCCGAAAACTCAAAGTAGTACAAATAATTATGTAAAATGAAACTAATAAACTGTACTTAGATTATAGTCAGTTGAAGTAAAAATTGACAACTATTAAAATTCCAATTACTTATTTGGAGACTGCAAACAAAAACACCACGATACTAGAAATTTATACAATAATCCCCAAGCAAATTGTACAAAGCCTGTAACTCCACACTTTGCAGTGTAAATTCAAATATAAAAATTAAGTAATATACAATAGTTTCCATAAAGAATAAACTAAAAAAAATATACAACATAATATATTATTAATGAAAAAAAAATAATCTTAAAAAAAGGGGAAACTGTGTAAAGTTGCTCAGACGAGACACCTTTTTTTCCATAAATAAAGGCCAAAGTTCTTTACTATACAAAGACTTCATTATTCTTAAATCAAAGAAGCCAGCATTACAAATACCCAAATTTTCGAAACCAGACTTATTGTGAGGATAATCCTCTTCTTAAGAAAGATTTCTTAATTTCGGAGAACAATGGTTTCGATAATAACAATCCAATGCCACACTGCTCTCTTTTTAGTAATGGTAATGTCTTCTCGCAGACATCAGTAACATAAGATAAAACCCACACACTTGTGTTTACGTGAAATTTATGTAAGGAATTAGGCAGATCTTACACTCTTTACACAATGATAGGCAAGTGCACACACACACACGGAACAGGTTGGAATATGTTAGACGCAGAAGCTAATCGATTGAAAATTTTTAATGTATATATGAGAAAAGCGTGAGAAATGCGTCATTCTATAACGTTAATCCAAAAAGTTTGGAAGGCGGGGCTAGGAGCCAAGCCCGACCCCTGCAAGCACATCTAAGTCAGTACACGATAACAGAGATAAAGAGAAATTGTTTAATAACAGAATATCAATCATCTGTTGAAGGATAGAAAACGAGGTAAAGATGGATAGATGGCGTGTACAGTACTGGGTTAGGAAGAGCCACTTGGGCGATATCTACGTCCACTGATCACGGCAACAGTTATCTTGTTATCGTGACTCGTACACTTGACTGGGGCCCTCAAGAGTATGTGTTGACATTTGGTCGGCGCACTCATTTCTCTCCAATTCGTTGGTTGATTGTACTCTGGTGGGGTGGGGGGGGGGGGTGGTGGTTGATGCGGGGGTGGAGGGGGGAATTGTGGGTGGGGAGAGGGTGAGTGGGTGGGGGTTGAGGAGGGGAGGAAGAGAGAGCGAGGCGGAGAGGGAAAGGGGAAGATAGGAGACAATGATTTCGCTTTATTCTTCAAAAGCTGTTTTCACTTTCCTCTCGTGAGGTAGTGAGCTTGACGAGGCTGCAGGAGCTGGCTGGCTGTCAGCCACCGAGCACAGCCCACAGGCGAGGCTCTCTGCGGCGCCACCATCACTCTCTTAACAGTTATGACTCTACGGAAACCTCAACACCATGTGGGAGGTAATGCCCTCCCCAGGTAATGCCATAGGGACTGCTCTTCCCAACACCCCGCCCACGCCCCGCCCTCACGCCTTCCCTCACACACGCGGCTCCAAAGACTTAAACCAATCACAAAAGCCACGCCCAC